GACGCAGTTTTGGGATCTGGGGGGGGATACAGTGGATATCCACTCATTTAATCTTTATGTCTGACTGTCTCCTTTCTCTCTCTCTTTATTTATCTATCTCTTTCTTAATCGAAAATTGAAAAAATGGTCAATGTAGCCGAATAATAATAAAGTGGGAAGTTTATGGGCCGACAAACAGTTGAGGTCATCGCAGGCCCTCTGCCTGTTTTCTCTCTTTTTCTCTTCTTTCGAGCATATTTTGTTTTAAACATTGAATTAAATGTTTGAGCGTCTCGATCTGGTTACTAACTCTGATATCAAATATACACTACGTTGATATCCTAGACTGCTAGCCTCTCGTTTGTATCTCAGGTTGTCAAATACAGAATAGAAACAAAACATACAATACTTTTATATACACGTATATACGGGATGTACATCACCACAAACATAGATGTTTGGTCACTTTCCCTCCCCACAGTACTCGATATTCCTCGGGGCGGAGTTATAAGCAACGCCTTCCTTTCTCGCTATAAATTACATTCCTTACAATAAATGAACTCAAACACAACCCTCGATAGAATCATAGATGTCTGGTCACGTTCACTCCCCCAGAGTACTCGATATTTCTGGGATGGGAATATTTTCGAAGAATATTGTATGAGGAGTTTTCCTTTGTACAATCATAAAACACTTTTAAAGCATAGATATATAAATTGCTTTACGCCGTATGTAAGGAATTCTGATTATTTTGGTTTTGAGCTGGTATAAATAATACCTAATTCCAAATTTAATCCGTACCTTTAAAACTGGGCACATTATTTTGTCCATAGTCCACCCAGAGAAATATTAAGTATTTGGTGTAGTGTGAATGAATTTGAATACAATTTATTAGAATGAATGAAGGGGCTCATCCCAACCTACCCCGGGAAATATCGAATACTCTGAGGTAATGCGAATGCTAACCAGACATATCATCGTGTTTTGTCTTTCTTCTGATGTTAAAAATAAAACCCTCACCTATTTCACGTCTGCGTAAGACACAGTTCACCAAACTCACCTGTAACAAAAAAAGGATAATTCAATATTATGCGTTAGTTATTTATTAGTATTACATATGCACAATAAAAACCTATGTTTCCTCCAAGAATCGCAACCGGGTATAAAAGAGGCAGGGTCTAGAATGGAAAAAGGTCGTACATACCAGGTTGTGCTTAGGGCATACCAAGAAATATGAAAGATCTACCTTCTAATGAGGGTGAGACCACACACGTCTCAGGGACCGACTACTATGAGAGGAAAACAGTAATTCAGCTGCATTTATACGTTTTTCGGTGATCCCGTGTAGTGCCAGGCTTCTTCGCAATGAAGAACGGAAAGAAGATCCCGAGGGAAACCGAGGAGAATTTATCTTATTAGAGCACAAAACAACAGAATGTTAAGAAATAAATCTGCTAAGAAAGAAGTTAAACATGATTAATACATGTCCTTGGTGCATGGTAGACACAGATCATTGATCTAATATAACAGGGCCATAAACATTTTAAACTAAATAGATTTTTGTACCTTAATGTATGTGATAGTTATTTACGGAACGAACGTATCTATTTGCGCGAATGGAGGGATTTATCCCTAATTACCACGAGGAATATCGGAGCACTCTACAAGTTTGATCGGTAATCCATTATTTTATATTGTTGTATTATATTACGTTTTATATTGTTTATATATTTTAGTGTAATTGGATTTGTTATTTGTATTACTTTGTTCATAATTGACGAGTTTCTAACGTACAGAAAGGCAAGGAATAGCAAAAGAAGCAACTATGCTATTGCAAAAGGAGTATAAGAAAACGCATTAAAAGGGAAAACGCAGAGTAGCGCGAGAAAAAGGAAAGATTAGCTTACGTCTCAATTTGTCTGATCATAACTTGTCTGAAGAAATATGAAAAGATATTACCTGGATTACAACGCGAGAAAGACAGGAAAAGCAAACCAAAGAAAGATAGATTTGGATAATGGCCTAAAATATTGGTTGTTATTCATGCATAAAATTTTATTCGATATTATTTATATATACGTACATATATTCTTCATATATACACTTTTATATCCGTATGTTTATAATATAAGCGAATGAATATATATATATATAAGTTCCCGTCGAGTCGGCAGGCTTAAAAAGTCCCATGGCATCTGTAAAACCGACCGGATGCGTAAACGGTATCAAGACCGACTACTATGAGAGGAAAACAGTAATTCAGCTGCATTTATACGTTTTTCGGTGATCCCGTGTAGTGCCAGGCTTCTTCGCAATGTAGAACGGAAAGAAGATCCCGAGGGAAACCGAATCACGTACCATTCTGACTTTGGATGTCGATAATGCCGCAAACATTCGGCGCTTGGCATTCATGACCAATCCCCGATTTTACCTCGGTGGCTATGATGATCGAGCTGTCTAAATTTTTTTCCCGAACTATACACGCCGGCGCTAGATCGCTAATTAAACTAAATTCGAAGTTTATAATTGTTTTGGATTGACGTCGCGTTCTGAAAGTGACGTGAGCCACGATCAGGAGGGAACTTATGCTTCAACTGTGGTTGAGTTGATTTAGGATAATAAAATTTCGACTGAAAACTTGCCAGATAACTTTGTTTTCAACCTGACAGCTGAGAACTTAAAGAAAAACCCACATTTTCATTTGCCTGCAGGGATATTCAACATATAAAAACGACTAACTTTTAATTTACTTGATATATAATGTATTAAATGCTTAAACCCTGCAACGTTTCAGTGCTATAAAATGACCGCAAGGAATTTAAAAAAAATACCTAATTTTGAATGCGAAGTAGAGTTGATATTTTCTTTTTAACTTGTTGTTTCTTTTACAAAATAAACGTAGAACGAATTACGAGCTTTATTATAATTATTTCAGGAGATTTCTCTCATTTTCTCAAAAACATTTTCATACTGGCTTTTGCAATGTAGCAATTCGAAAAAGTTTAATTCTTTTAACAAACCTGTTGTTTATTTTTAAATATTTTTATAGCGAATGATCTAAAAAATTCTCTCAAATCTTAAAATGTACATAGGCATTTTGAAAATATTCAATTAATTTTCAATTGTAATATATAATTATATGAAACTTTTTTTAAAAACGTTGTTTCTACATTAGGACAATTAACGTTTAAGGTTTTTACAATAGACTTGCAGTTTTTACATTCACAAAACAGTTTATATTGAACACTTTAATAGATGTGTGTAAAATGCCAATGTTACTACATACCAGAAAATTTTAAAAAATTGAACACTTTAAAAGTTTTGTACACGGTTGTCACAAATAGACTAAGAGATTTCGATCTCACCAGAAAAATAATTTGATATTAAATGCTCCATATAAAGTCTTTATAAGAATTCTTCTTAAGCTCGAAGCTTTTCTTTTCTCTCTGAACCGTTGCTTTCTTTGAAAAACATTAAATTCATTAAACATTAAAAAATTAAAAATTAATGGTTCCTCGAACTTTCCTACTTGGTGCATGGTTTTGAAATACATTACAATAATCCCATCATTACCCCACATTAATAATCCAATGTCATATTTAAAGCGTTGACATAAATGGAGTGACTAAACTTAAAAAAGGTAAATTGATCGCTCTGTTAAATGCGGATAAAAACACTTAAGAAACTAAAACAAAACCTTTTCGTATGAATTAAATTGTAGTATTCAGGTCGGTTCAAGCACATGAAGGGAAAATAGGAAATGAACTTGCTGATAAATTGGCTAAAGAAGGAGCTGGTAACAACAGAAAATCAAATATTATAATATCCCCTCAATCTATATTTTTCAATGAGCAATTAAAAATACTTGAAACAGTGGGGAAGTGAAATGAGAAAATAGTTGAAAAAGTGGCATCATTGAATTGCCAATTATTGAATGGCCAATTAGATATATATTTTTTTAATTGCACAAATTCCCCTACTCGTTATTAATATTGCAAAATCACAAACTTTTGACGAGTAAACACAAACGTCATACAATAAAGATGACAATTTACACTATAACCAAAAAATATTTTTATCTTAAATGCTTGAATAAATAATAAAACCTTAAAGTTCTAATTTATACTTAGAACTTCGAAAAACTCTAGATTGTTTAGAAATTTTAGGGTCCATACAATTTGTAAATGAATTATTTTGCAATTAAACTAATAGTTTTTACAAACTAGAGAAAATATTTACAATTGACTGGTTAACTAGAGGCGTATAAGATCTTAATACATATGTAGACATTTAGCAAAATAATAATTTTTGAAATAATCAAATTTAAAAGTCAAATATAAGAAAGGGTGATTTTTCTATTTGTTTTGTTTTTGCCCTTGCAAATTTGCCGTTTGTTTTTCTCCACGAGATTTATAGCACTCCGTATCACTGCAAAATTATGTTGTTCTTTAATGTTCAAATATAGAATAATGCCTTTTTCGTTCCAAAACATTTGTTGGAAATTGAATAAATTATGACTTTTTCGTATGCAATGTTTCAAAACTATACATATCAAGTTGACTTTTGCTTACAGAGATTAGTTAACATTTCCTCTCGAAAACCATACTATCATGGTGATGAACGGGCTGCCAGTTTATTAATTTTGACAATCAAGATAATTATGCTGAGACACATTCGTCCACATTACTCGTCCTGCTCTGTACAGGAACGCTATAAATAAAGATGGCTGGTGCCACCTGTTACTCCCTCAGGAGACTCTTAACTTACTTAATTATATTTCCTCATCCGGCTACAACTCCTTCTCTTCTCCCTTCTTCCAACGAGCAACGAAACAATTAAACGGGCATTTATTTCTCCGAGGGAACCCTCTTTAAGAAATAACAGAATTTGCCCTCTTGGGACAATTCGTCTTGAGGAAAACGCAGTTAGCCGTCTCTGGTAAACAGGTTTACAGTTCATTTTCAAATTGGGCCAAGACGTCACCGCCCCGCGGGAATTCTTTTACGTCATTTTCCATATGGTCCAACCTTTGTCGAATAAATCGACACTAACATGTGTTTCACATTACAGAAACTGGCTATAGCCCAGTTTACACACATATACACACACTCATGACACACCACACATAACTCACACACACTTTCAAAATTTCATGTTTACACTGAACGAACCTTGCAGGTTGGTGCCGTACGTTACAGAAAGGGACCCTTATTCCAGAATCGAAAGGATTAAGAGTTGTTGGAGAAGCAAGAATAAATTTCCTAGGTAATAAATTCAATGTGCGGTTAATACACGAATTCTCACCGCAGAAATAAGTGAAACGTTCTGTTTTATAAAAAGAACGCCTAGTTCTACAGTACTGGAAGATACCTGACCCGTTATAGGTCTCATAGGACTCATATGCCAACATCTCAAAGCTTAATGAAAATTTAAAATTTGAAGTGTTTTCGAATATAGGTTTTCCTTTTTGAATTGGGAAATATTAAATATGCAAAATAGTTGTTTAAAAAAAAAAGATTATTAGCCAATTTTCAACAAAATCCCTCCGACCAAAAATTGTGTTATATTGTCGTTTTAGCACTACTTACATAATTCATTACAAAGATTTAAAAAAATATATAAAACCCACAAAAAAATATTTGTTTTCTACAATTGATTTGGAAAAATTCTATGAACTTTTTTAGTTTATCACATCATGGCTTTAAGACAAATGTTTGTCTTTCCAGGCTTTAATAGGATGCATGTTTTGAATAAGAATGTTTAAAATTTGATCAATTTACATATTCAGATACGCTTTTATTAAGACCTATTATTATATTAAAGATATTCAAAAAAATATTAAACAATTCAATATAAAAGATGATGAAGTTTCGTGTTTTCCCCAATGGCTTTTTCTAACTGAAGCATTGACATCTTTTCAATATAAAAGTTATAAATGTGTTTAATAAAATAAAGCTTAAATTAATAAAGGCTCCCAATTTTACATTTTATGCATATACACTTTGCTTGAACTTAATATATAGACTGAATTGTTACAAATCCGTTAAACATGTTTTTAAAGTAAGAAATAATGTTTAGATTTTTATGGTTTTATTAAAACGTTTCAAAACCTTTTACAGTTGTGCCACATTTAGGCCATACGAATTGAAAGTAAACCTCGATTACGAAGAACCAAAACCGAAGCCGTTAGACAATAAAAAGTTCTCCTGCAATTTTATATACAACCCGGTAGAAAGTCCGGCTAATATTGCTCCTTCGTACTTCAGAAAGGTTTGGGTTCGATAATGATAATAAACAAAGAGGAATTCGTTTTACTGAACGTTTCTTTGTTATTTACAGCGAGAAGCATTGACGACCTGCCAAAAGATTTTTCATCTGGAACCTGTCAAGTACTGTTGCCGCTGCTTCAACGTACAGAATCGTACACAAAATACATCCAGGCGGTACTGAGCCTTATTAAAGATGTTAACCAGTGATAGCACAAACAGCCAGCAGGAATCGGTGAGTCGCAAAGTATATTGCTGCATTTGTTGTATAATTGATTAACTTGATTTTACAGGAACTGTGCCCAACTTCCCCTTGTGGCACGTTATATACTCCAACCAATTTCGTTCCCGTGAGTAACTTAAAGTCCACCAATTTTTATTTCAATGAAACAATTTTTCTTTAAAGGTATCCTGCCCTCCAAAATGCATGCCTGCATGTTTCCTATCTATGTCGACCAATTCAAACTCAACGGTAAATATTTTAAATTTAACCAATTACGCTGTAAGCATATATTCGCCGCAAAGTTTCCAAAATCAAATGCAGAATTGAGAAACTTTCACTTTAATCCAAGGAATCTACAATGGTTTAATCACCTGGTGCGTTTACATGCGCGGTTTTCGATGTAACGATGTAAAGACGAAATGCACCAAAACCTTTGACTTAAGACGAATCCATAAATTGACCCAGTCCCGGTTTAACATTTGCTCACCGAATCACAACCACCGACCCAACAGCAACCATTAACTATAATCCGAGGAGTGTAAGAAATTTTGGAGCAGTTATTTTAATGACTGGGTACGAACTAAATTAGTACATTAAATCAATTTTTTTTAGTTTCTGAACTGTATAAAAAATTACAATGTACTAACTGCTAACTAAATAATAAAATATAGAAAATTATAAAAAGTATGGCGTTGAGCCAACGGCGACTGAAGAGTCCCGGTTTCAAATTTCAGGAAGCCTAAATTCGATCCAACACACTTACAAATAATAACACATTTATGTTTAGTGGTCTAACTGACCAAATTACTTATTTCAATTAATTATTCTTTTTAATTTGTTCAGATACAGAAAATTACATAATAAATTAAAATACGTGCAAATATTTTTTTGTGACTTACTATGTCAAAAAATGTACACATGACCAAGCTATCTTGCTTAGCCACTAGGAATCATATTTTAAACAACGTTTTTTGCCTTTTATTTTGAGTGCACGTATTTCGTTTAGTAAATATACATATATATATATATATATATATATATCAGTCGATGTTGATACAAACACACACACCATGTCATCTTACGATTTCGAAAATAATAAGAAACAATAATTCCAACAAAATATATTTCAAATAATCAAAAGTCGACAACAACTTTTACATTATCAATTAAAATGATATTAGTTAATCAACAAAAATATGTGCACTCATTTTTCAAATTTTTCTTCAATACATATCGAATATTCTCTTTAATGGTAAATACAAAACTGTTAAATATTAGGTCGGTGCAAAATAATTGCTGGTTTTGAAAATTTGTTTTATTCTCGAAGGTGTTTGTCATGTAAACAAAGATAAACCCTCAAATCTAATTTATGGATTACAATGAATACTTTTAAATGTTATCTTTTATACAATACAGTTTAGTTTATATGGAATTTTGTAAGAGTGAGGACCTGCGAAATTAAATATGGCCAAACTAGATTTTCGTCAAATTTATTTGTATGAATTTAACTTGGGAAAAGTGCGGCCCAAACCGCGCGTAACATCAGTACAGTATGGGAGGAGGGAATCCTTAGCGAATGCACGGAGCAGCGATAGTGTAAGAGATTTTGTCTTGGAGATTTCGATCTCGAAGACATGGTAGGCCTTCCTTTGTGGACGACGACCAACTCAAAACGTTATTGAAGAAAGTTCCCGTAAGACAACAGGGAAATTGGGGAAGAGCTTAGTGTTGACCTCTCAACCGCTGTTCGCCATCTGGAGCAAATTGGTAAAGTAAAGAAGTTCGACAAGTTGTACCTCACAAACTAACCGAAGCCCAAAGAAATCGACGCCTTGAAATTTGCACGTCCCTTCCGTTGCTCAACCAAAATTATCTATTTTTCGATCTAGGCAAATGCGATGGGAAATGAATTTTGTACGATAACAGGAGGCGAACAAGTCAGTGGCTGGACAAGGATAAAGCTTCAAAACAATTTTTCGAAACCAAATCTGCACCCAAAAAATGTTATGGTGAATGTTTGGTGGTGTACTCCTGGGTTTGTTTACTATAATTTCATGAATTATGGTGAAACTATTACTGAAGAGAAATATTGTCAAGAAATCGACAAAATGCACCTGAAACTACGTCTTTGTCCAGCATTGGTAAACCGTAAGGGGCCGATTCATCTTCACGAAACGCCAGGCCAAATGTCGCAATGCCAACCCTGCGGAAACGTAAGCATTTAGGATATAAAACTTTACCGCACCCTCGATATTCAGCCGACCTCTCGCCTATAAACTTCTATTTTTTTAGGCATTTTGATCACTTCTTGGGGGATAAAATTTTTAAGGAACGCAGTAATGCCAAAAACGCCTTCCAAGATTTTATTGTGAATCGAAATAAAGATTTTTATGTCAGCGGAATAAAAGGGCATATTACGCGTTGACAAAGATGAATACATTGTGATGGAAAATAGCTCGAATACATTTTCTTTATTTTATAAAAATGAAAAATAGTTTGAACTGCCTTTTGAAAACCTGTATTATTTTTGCCCCAACCCAATATTTTCTTAGCTGTCCTTTTTTAATTAATTTATTTTTATTATTATATTTTATAAATATTATAACTAGTTTTACACTTTGCTAGTGAAAATTTACGCAGAGTAATAACATATTTTGAAGATAAATTTTTACAAGTAGGCTTGTAATTACCCTAAAGCGGTTTGTACACCATTCTTTTTATCGTGAAATTTCATCCTGTGGTTTGCAGGGTGATGAATAAGAAAAGTGATCGTTACCGGTCGTTTTGGCTTGCCTATTCTTGCTGGGTTTATCTGCCTGGCCAAAATGGTCGACAAAAATTAAATTGCAAGTCCTTTAATTATATTTGAACATAATTTCAAACTTTAATAAATTATATTAATATTTTCTATATGTGCAACAAGGAATAATATTAAAATGAAAAATTTAGAAGAAAATTGCAATTGTAGGCGCGCTGGTTGGTCGCAATACAGGTTTAAATGAAAATTCCAATACGCCAATAGGACGGCGTTTTCCTAATTCCTTCGACAACCGAGGCGAGCAGCTGTTACGAGCGTCAAATCGGCAAACTCTAGGCAAAGCAAACATGAAAAAAATGAACCTACCAAATATCTGTTCATCTCTATCCGAATCTCGGGTAATGTTACAAATCAATCGGCAATCTTCATTCGCGATTTTGGAACGCACGGGACTAACAAAAAAAAAAGATAAATGGAGAAATAACAGCAAACTTAATCGGACATAAAAACATTAAAATAAAATAAAAAACCGTCAGGACTCAAGTCGAAGGCAAAACAGGATGTAAAGAGTACTGGAATCAGAAGCAAAGAGGACAGTCAACAAATCAACAGAGAATGCGAGATGATCGAAGCGGATTATCTGCAAAGTGTGGACTAACGCGGTTTTAGAAAAAATAAAACCAATTATAAATAAATAATAACTAATAAATCAAATGCACTTAAGAAAGAAAATTAGGAACAAAGCCTAATAAAGAAAAGACAATATTGAATAACATAAATGCCTTATTATTTAATTAAATGTAAAACAATTAAATAATCGAACACTTCATGCTTACAGAACTTTTAAAGGTTTCTAATGGTTTACTGTAGTTTTGTTTAACTGGTTTTTGTTCGTGTAGGGTATACTTACAAAAATCAAATTTAATAGATTGCTGAAAATTAAAGAAATCATGAAAGTTTAAATTACTTTTACTTAATTATGAAGTGATAATAGTGCAATTATTATATTGCAAAAGTGATTTAAGTCTACCGAAAATCCCTTAAATTTTCATTTTATTTAACTATTATATAAAAGTTTTATCAATTGGATGGTATTACAAATTACGAAAATAAATTATCGATTTTGTTCTCCTATTTGTTTACGATCTTTAAAAATTGCAAAATCACATAGACATCATATACAGATAATTTATATTTGATTTTTTAATTTTCTTTCTGTACCAGGGAAAAGATAGGAGAAGATTAGGATACACCGGTTTTGCTGGTTACGGAGGAGGACGTCAAACACCAGCTGTACCAGAGCCTGGAGAACTTGCTTCCAAGTTTAGCATAGTAGGAGGCGAAGTAAATTTTGATTGTATATTTTTGTCATAGAATATTTGGAAAATATCCAGAGTTACTTTTAATATCTTACATACTCTAGTATTTGGGAGAAAATAAAAAAATAATAATCAAAACCTAAAAATTGTTACCATGTTCGTTGAAGACAGGATTAAACAAATAGGGGAATTTCTTTACAGCTTGAAAAATCTAAGTTTTTCGTATTTTTAAAAATCTTGTTCTTGGCTCTACAACGGTATGAAGTCACATCAATTATTTAAAATTACACCGTATGAATTTCACATTGCTATGCAACTAGTTATAATAACTGTTTGAATGCTTTTTATAACGAATAATACAAATATTTTTGTCCAGAACAAAGTATTCCAGGAGAGGTGCATGTATCTTAATAGAACTTAAACAGAGACCTTATTATCTTTGATAATAAGTGTAATTGAAGTTATTAAGTTATATTTCTCTGATCGGCCTTACCCGATAGGCCATTAGAGGTTGACGCATGGACACTTATTTCTGGACCAAACTTCTTTTCAGCATTTAGAAACGGTGCTCGATCTATCCCATTCAAGCTTATTATTGTTTGGTTATATATAAAGAGCGTGTAGGACTGCCACCCGATTTAACAGTTTCGGTTTTTATTTTATATTGTACTGATAGATCACGTTTTGTGTCCAATTACGAGAATATTATTCTCTTTTGTGCATATTAATAGTGAATGTATTTATGTGTATTATATAGTGTGAGAGGGTCTAGGGTGAAAAACTGAGCACCCCATTGATCAATTATATAAATTATTTAGATATAAATAGTATGGAGGAATATCGAGTACTCCATCACCCTTATGGCATGCAATTCATAGATTCTGTACATGTGTGTATATACGTGCATACGTGTACCAAATTGAGCTCATACAAATCAGTAATCAGTATTTCGTTGTTATTTGAATTAGTCATAGGATATAACAGTAATTGTTTTAAATTGTTCAAAACCGTATGCAGGTTGCAAGGTTGTCATTGTATATACAGGGTGAATTGCTACTCGTGCTACAAACTTCTCCAGTAGATTCTTCACCCTAAAATGAACAAAAAAGTTCATATTGTCCATGGTCCGATTCTCAACCATTTCAGAGTAATTTCGCTTTTTATCGATTTTGAAAGATATCACGTCCTGGCGTCGGAAAATCGTGATATCTTTTAATCTAAACATTTCTCTTAAAATCTATAAGCACCGTTGAAATCCCCGTTAATTTTTAGAGAGAATCAAAATCATAATTCCATTGAAATTTTTTAATTTAATTTAATGCCCATTTAGTATGTAATGCTTAAGAAGTTTACAAACAGCTAGAAGGTCAAGGAAGAAAGACCCAAACGTTTTGCCACCTTCATCTTCTTATTGAAAAATTAACGGGGATTTCAACGGTGCTTATAGATTTTAAGAGAAATGTTTAGATTAAAAGATATCACGATTTTCCGACGCCAGGACGTGATATCTTTCAAAATCGATAAAAAGCGAAATTACTCTGAAATGGTTGAGAATCGGACCATGGTCAATATGAACTTTTTTGTTCATTTTAGGGTCAAGAATCTACTGGTGAAGTTTGTAGCACGAGTAGCAAGTCACTCTCAAACATTAGCAATCCTTGAACCACCATTTTTTCTCTTTTTGTCATCAACATCTTGGTCTCACAACCACTAAATAAGAAAATGACGAGTGCGTTGGAAGCGTTATTAAATCAGGTAGTTTTCCTCAAATTTGCTGCCTTCTGAGACTAAAATTAGAAACTCTGGATTACTTTATACACTTTCCGATTTACACAATTTTCCACTCTTTTTGTAGTTCTGGCTGAAATAAAACACAAAAAATTAGCCCAAACATTTTGCCACCGTCATCTTCTTATTGAAAAATTAACGGGAATTTCAACGGTGCTATTAGATTTTCAGAGAAATGTTTAGATTAAAAGATATCACGATTTTCCGACGCCAGGACGTGATATCTTTCAAAATCGATAAAAAGCGAAATTACTCTGAAATGGTTGAGAATCGGACCATGGACAATATGAACTTTTTTGTTCATTTTAGGGTGAAGAATCTACTGGAAAAGTTTGTAGCACGAGTAGCAATTCACCCTGTATATAACTCAAAATAATTTGTTTCCATTATTTGCACTCTCTTCAAAAGGATGTGATTACAAGCATGTCCGTTTAGATAGAGCAGTTCCCGGTCGATTTATATCCCTGTAGTCACATGCTGTTTCAGTCTTTCGGACAAGTATTATTTAGTTTGTCCATAAACTGTTTCGCAAGTTTTATATGTTCCTAAATTTGTACACCATCTCTGGCCTACTTGCTTTTAATAAGCGTCTTATGATTCGCGAACCAAATGTCAAGTATTAAAATTCCTCCTTTCTCTTCTTTTGCTTTTCTTTTTATGTCCAGTGTTGGCGTCCACATGTTTACCTTTAATAAAACATACACTTCCGAAGACCATCGTGGCGATTTATTTATTATTGTTGTGTATAAATGTCGGCCTGCTTTACAGATTTCTATTCTGGCCTTTTAGGAAATATAGTCATACTGAATGGTGCATTTTTCTAAGTGTCGCGGATGAACCACTATAAATTCTTTTGAGATATTGTATTATTACAAAATAAAAAAGCTTGAGTTTTGCCGGAAACCAATCGTCCGTGTCCGTCCCCTTTTCTATTATTTATTATACAATTTTAACAGTAAATCATAACTATTTACATGAAATGAGAAATTCATACCACATAATTAGAAATAACTAATGCAAACCCTTATTAAGGTAGAGGCCTGAAGAAGATTACATCAATAATTGAAAGCTAGGTCAAATTACAATAGTAATTGTTTGCTGAAGCCAATACGACATGGATGATACACCATAATCTAAAACAAAAATCTAAGTTGGTCGATAATCACAGAATCTATATATGTACATATTTATTTTTCTTTTGCTTGTTTAATTTTTGTTATTTTTCCGCATCTTTCTTGAAGCCTAAAAAAATCATAAACTAAACAGTTCATAAAGAAAGGACAACATAAATAAGAAAAGAAGTATTTAAGAAAGAGCAAATTTCTTCATTAATAAAAATAAGAGAATTGATTTCTTAATTTCCCTTTTCTCGCAGAAGTTTTAACTAAGTTTGAACTTAACTCGATTGAGTACTTTATTTTGGTTTTACGATTTAGGTTCATCGTATTTGTAAATGCACCAGAAGAAACGGCTTGCAAGACGATTGCCCGATGCCGGGTTGTCGTGGCAATCCGAAATGTCTAGAAACTCCGTTTCCCACTTGCGCTCCTGCAGGTTTTATCGACTCACCAACTACAGAACAATACCGTAAGTTAGATCATTTTCCAAATATTTTGTTTTTACAATTTTAATTTGACTAACTACGTTTTTTGTTTCATTTACAGCTATTCTATGTTGTTGCTCTTACTCACAAAATTCGGAAGATTACCCATTAGACGATTGCCTACAATTTGTATCTTGTCCTAACTATTAGTTACTGTCCCACACAACATATACACATTAATACAACATAACACTCATTCATAACACAACTTGCGTTTCATTACTTAGCTAGCTTATATTTGAACTTCGACGGCTTATTAACTAGTCCTTTTGGTGAATCTTAGATTTAAGTTTAATGAAGCAATATCTTAAGTACTCGAGAAACACCCACTTACACACATTGACAAATTATACAAATGTTTAACGTCTGTTGTGTTTATCAATTTATAATTATTTAGCAACATAAAACATAAACTCCATTATATTTAGTGGTCTATTGATCAAATTACGTCTTTCAATTAATTAATGGTTTGTGTAAGGTTTTTGGTTGAAATGAATCCCGCTCGTGGGACTAACCTTTTCGTTTCAACCAAAAACCTTAGAAAAAATATTAATTAATTGATAAAACAGAAATCTGCGTATTATGTAGGATTTGAAGGGTTCAATCCTTGGTTTTAGTTTTATTAGATTTTATAAAATTATACATGGCACTTTTAGTTTTTTCTTAAACAGAAAATACCTAGTTTAAATAGAAGTTATGACAAAAATTAGCAATGTAATTTGACGGAGGGGGAATATTTGCCTTATAACAATATATACATATTTTTTAAATGTGTGGTGATTAGTGACCGTTAATCGATAATTTATTTTTATTGAGAGAAAAAGAGTGCTAAGGAAATAGAATGTGTGGAACAGTTTTCATAAGTTAGAAATTTACATAGATAGACTTACTTGAGCATTTTCTCTAAAAGCCTTAAAGCAACCCCTTCCTAGTTGTAAAATACACACTCCGTAGTAGCTGGCAAAACTTGAGCTTGAGGATCCCTTTTTATAATTAGGAAACTTTTCATGTTTGTCACCTAATCCTGCAGGGTGAGAGAATTTCTAATGGAGGGGCTTTGAACGACGGCCGTATATTATCTGAGGGGCAAGACAGCGACGTTTTCTCTTAGTAAATTAACTTCCTCTTTGGCGTTTTGCTCCTCGCAAATGTTAAATTAAGAAATTTAATTCGACCGACTGGAAAAAGGCGAATTGTTTGTGTTTAATTCCAGTTTCATGCAGCTTTCTCCAATTTAATTTCTGTTCACTCTGAAGTACCGGGCCCTGGCGGAAATTATTTCTTGCAGGCCAGCGAAGCATGCACCGGCGGGGAGAAATTATTTGTCCAAGCGAAACAACACCGGAAAGTACACAGACATATTAGGCGACTGTTCTAACCGCCCCGACAGGAAATGGGACTGCTTTTTGAAACAGGAAACACTTTTGAAAGAAGGAAAACGGAAAATGGCAATATATAGCCCTCTGACCCAAGGGCATTAAATTTGAATTCGTTTTCTGTCCTTGTTGCCAATTTGAACAGCATTCATAAAATAAAAAGGGCCATGTTCAAATGAAGAAATAACTAACACGGGACTAATGACAATTTGATTAAAACAAAAAACATGCTTATAACAATATTCTGACCTAAAAGTTAATTAAAAACTAAATAACAATACTAAATTTATAATGGAAACGGTCACTCTTTCCAAACTTATAAATTATTACGAAGTTGTAAAATGTGTACTGCATGTCCAGTTACAATCAAATAGAAGGCAACGGTGTAAAAATCTATCTCATGTCCTTATATATCAACTATTAACCCTTTGACAATGATTAATATCAACCTACTAACGATGTTCCCAATGTGTAGTAAATTTTTTGCTTCCACATTGTATGCAGATGTAGGCGAGAGTGGCGTTTGGAATACTTGTATTTTCGCCGTGACCTCAGGGATCTTTTAAGTACCAATGTGTATTGAACATATTACGGAGAGTTTTATTTTGGAGTGTTCTAATTTTTTTACTTCTGTGGTTTGTACAACTTTTTGTTTAAAACTTGTTTTTATAGAATTTAATTTTGTATTATAAGGTCTGTGCTGCTTATAATTAACCAGCATAGATGTCTATACTTTAAACCTATTTCTGTCCTTTTTTTCTTAACGTACTCTTTCTATCTCAGCTTGGCATCTATGGTCAGTGTTAGATGTTGTTCTTTATTACTGTATGGTAATTGGCTCCATCGCTACTAAGAGTCGAAACAGTCTAATTTTTTATTTGTGAAATTTTATGTATCAATTTATAATCTAATTCTAATTTTTTTACAATTTGTTCTGCACAACTTTTGGGTGATTTTTAAAGAGTGGTTAATACTCGATCCTACCAACATCACGGCTGTATGATCTGCAAACGGTGCGATGTTTTCGGAAAATTTTTTGTACACACGAATTAATATTAGACTAAGTATGCAGCCTTGGGGAAGCATTAATTTTCTTTAGTTCTGAATATTTTTTTATTGTTTGGTTTGACAATGTGTTTTTGGTACGTAGGAAGTGATCTTATCTACACACTACTTTCCTTTTAGTTGACCGCAGTCTTTAGCCGTACTTGTTCAAAAGCCTGTGGGACATCAAGGAGAATAGATGAAAACATTAGGTTTTCTTCTAGTGATTTCTATATTGCATGCGTTTCTCAGTGAATTTGATGGGTTAAATATTTTGACATGAGACAAATTGACGGTCTGGCGTGATTTTCACGTTTTCTATTACAGATTTTAATTTTTTTATTAATAAATTTTCGTAAAACCGTAGAGGCTGTATGTAATATGAGTCAATATGATCAAATTTCGTTTGGCGGTTTTTCCGATTTATTTACAACCAAAATCCGCAGAAAAAATTAAAAATCTAATAAACTTTTACATATTTGGCAGACCGTATCGCTTTGAACATATGTTTTTATAGATTACTGATTACCGATTTATTATGCTTAAATCTGCATCCGCATGTACAGAGTTGAGCGTATCACTTCTCGCAGTCCACCGGCAATTTGGCTTTTGTATTTGACAAAAAATGGCCGGCAAGCCTCGAGAATCACCCACATCAAGTGTTGGCCGTTGGGGTCAGACTTAGTTTTTATCCCTCACTACCAAGGTTCGGCTCCAGGGTCTATCAACAGCTAGGTCATTTCTACCCCTAAAGCAATCCGTACTTAAAACCAAACCCATTCACACTCTCAGTCATTCTTAAATACATATAAATTTCCTTTTTACATACCTTCCATTCAATTAGGGTGGTGGAGTACTCGGTATTCCTCCATCACCCTTTACAACCACTATATAATTAACCTAACTGAGGGTACTCAATATCCCGCCATCGGCCTTCTCACACCACAAATTCACACCAATAAATACCTTCTCTCTCATCACACACTAGTGACACAAAATTATCACAAACTGTGCAATAGAACATCCTTCCTCTGAAACTCGCAACAGAGGACGGGCATAAACGCTGCCGTGGTCAAGGATGATTCTCATATCGGGTGGCATTCCTCTGTATGGAGCACCCTTCAACTAGGTGGGACACATTGAGTTTTTCTTTCACTATAAAAGTAAATATTTCATACTAAATAGTCTAATTTTTGACCTAACGGTTTTCGCGCTAAATAATAATATTGCATGAATGTGTTCTGTTTTGAATCTTGACTGTGAATTTTGAAAAAATAATAACAGGAAGCATCTCATAATTAAATTTGTTTGTGAAGTGTGATTCTGTAAGAAAATAATCTTCATTACGTCGTTGTTAAAATTGCTAAAAGTCTTTTCGTTCAGTTGGGTTTTTATATTATGAGCCAATAGTTTATTTCAATTTTTATTCTTTGCCAATTGGCCCTGGGTCCTCTATTTGTACAAAGGCTGTGTCGGAGAGGGGTGTAAAACGTTTTAGGAATTCTCTAAGAGTTTCTCCTTCCGGAGCGCCTATAAAACGTATTTTAATAGGGGGTAACCGGTTAAGGGGACTTGCCTTGGGGAACAGTTGAGCCGATGTAATAAAGATAAATTCGTTTTCTTCTTTCAAGGAGCATAGAGCCGGTGGAAGTAGGAAAAGGGCAGCCTTGGGCGGGGCGGCGGCGAGGCCGTAGAAAGGGGAAAGAGGGAAACGGGAATGCAAATTTCTTGATAAAGTAAAGGATGGCCGCCCTTGGAGCTGCTACATATAAATTAGCTTTACGCTAAAACAAGGCAGCTCCAAATGGCGTAGCGCTGGATAAGAAGGTGTGGCACATGCCACCCATTTTCAATTTCTTTCATGCAGTTACATGCAGATCTTTATTCTTCATACTTTTCCTCATTCCGTCCAATCGTCTGCTGCAGTAATGGATTGGGTTGTCCGGAAAATAATGCAGGTTTATGCGGAATGCTGGAAGTTTAAGCCTACCTTAAAGAGAAATGATTTCTTTTTTAAATTATTTCATTTGTAACTTAATATATTTGTACAGCGCTGTACCCAGAAGACACATGCCATGAGAAAACAGCCAATGGAGGCAATCGTCGATTAAGGCGATGTGGCAGGTTCTCGAGATGGGAATGTGAGGAGATGGTTCCAGCAATAAGGATGGATGGAGATGTTGGTGTGAAACGATTAGTTCGTTGGAAAAAGGAATGTTGAGGTCTTTGTAGATAAAGGTTAGTGATGTAAAAAAGAGCTTTGACAATTTGTAGGACTTTTTATTGGAAGGATTGGATGTGCCGGTTGTTGGATGGCTTGATAGAACCCCACAGTTTCTCCTTCGTACGTCCAAAATGGACGCAGTAAGGTCTTCTATAAGGTGAATTTATTTTTTAAGGTCAAGTCAGATTTTGGTCCTTGAAGTCTTCATAGTTATCCAAATCTTCTGTTGAGTTGTTGTCTCTTAAAACTTGTATGGAGATTCCATGTCAGTCTGCTATCTAGGTACAGTCCTAAGTATTTGACCTGAATGAATGTCGGTATCTGTTCGTTGGTGATGCACAATGGAGAGCAAGGCTGTTTTTTTCCCCCAATGTGAACGTACACTGAGTACATTTTTCTTTATTCAGTCTTGTCCTCCACGTTTTGCACCAGTTTTCGATAGGTTCAAGGTATCCTTGGATGTTGGAGGTAGCTTGGATAGGCTTCAAGAAAGAGGACAAAATTGCGGTATCGAACTCGTAGATGGTGATGACGGTATTAAAGTGTGAAGATAGGTCAGCATTATATATTATATAATGGATGGGACTGAAAATGCTTCCTTGCGAGATGATGATGATATGCTTTATTTATTCAGATATCGTGAGATGCGGTCGGGTGTGATGTAGGTTTCAGAAAAACATTTTCTTTATCGTGCCAACGTTTCGATCTTTTATTGAGATC